ACCCCAATTCACTTTTGCAGAAGATGCTTTTTCATAAATCTCCAAACTTCTCTTAAGTACCTCAACATCTCCCTGAGCAGTGATCAAAACTGTGACATCGTCTGCATAAGCAGACAAAGAAACATGAATCCCACGGGGGTCTTTTGTTATAGGTATCCCCTTAAGATCTCGTCTCAACCTACATAATAAGGGTTCAATCACAATACTATATAAACAACCCGACAAGGGGCAGCCCTGCCGTATATCTCTCTGTACTGGCACCTTCACACTCAAAGCCCCACCTACTTTTACCATGACAGATGCGTCAGCATATAAAAGCTTGAGCCAAGATACAACCTTATCTCCACATCCAAATGCTGTCAAAGTTTTAAAAAGATAACCATGATCTACTCTGTCAAAAGCTTTTTCTTGATCAAGTGATAAAACCCCTAATCTATCATTATTCATTAAACTCAAATCAATTACATCCCTCAATAAAAACAAATTATCCATAATTGTTCTCTCTGGTACACAATATATTTGATCTTATTTTGATAGTATTTTATAGTCCACACAGAGCAGTGAAACAGGTCTCCAGTTCTTTAAAAGACCTAGATCTCCCTTCTTAGGCAGTAGGGACAAAACTGCCCTTCGACAACTAGTAGGGAGCAAACCAGTCTTCAAGCATTCCAGTACCACCTCATAAAAATCCTGTCCCAGATCTGTCCAAAATTGTTGATAAAATTCAGCTGGTAATCCATCCACCCCCCGGGATCGACCAGCAGACAGTTGCTTCACCACTGCTGTAAGTTCTTCAGCCGTAATATCAGCATCCAGCTTCTTCCTCTGACCTGGACTCAACTGTGGAAGATCTTGAAGAAGGTCTGCAGCGCCGTCAGAGTCACAGTCCTTAGCACCATACAGTTCTGCATAATACTGCACCGCCAGCCTCCTCATCTTAGCAGGGTCAGACGTCAAGGTCCCATTGGTGCACCTTAAAAAAGTCATCTGCTTCTGTTGTACAGTCTTTCTTTCTAGACTGAAAAAATAAGCACTAGGTGCATCAATGTCCTTGATCGAGCTAATCCTCGCGCGTATTAAAGCCCCTTTCACCTGCTCTTGTAGATAGAATCCCAACTCTTGTTTTTTTCCGCTAGCTCCCTATGAAGCCCTATTCTACTGTTTCCAATTATTTGTTTCTCCAGGTTCTCAATGTCTTGCTGTAATTTCTTTACAGCAGAGCGTGCTGATGAGGCAGTATGTGCTGAGTAACTCTGGCAGAAAAGTCTCATCTGTACCTTCCCTACATCCCACCACTGACTCAAGTTTTCAAAAGAGTGCTTCTGAGCTTTCCACTTATACCAAAAAAGTGCAAATTTATCACAAAAAACACTGTCTTGTAATAATTTAACATTAAAATGCCAGTAGCAATTTGCATGTGTTGTAGCCGTTACGCTTATTTCCACAGTGACCATATGATGATCGGAAAACCCCACAGGAATTACCCCTGCTCTCACCACCTTGTTGTTAAAACCTTTGCTTACATAAAACCTGTCCAACCTAGCCCCACACACTCTAGAATCACCTACCTTTAACCATGTGTACTGCCTCACTCCCTCATTTTTATCTCTCCATACATCCATTAAACCACATTCACAGACTAGATTTGCAAGTTTAATACTAGACTGACTATGTGGTTCCTCCCCATTCCTAACAATTGTGACCTGCGTAGTACAGTTCCAGTCCCCTCCCATTACCACACACGTCTGCATCACTATATCCTGAAAAAGCATGGTGTAAATTTGAGAAGACCTCTAAACGCTCAGTGCCCTTAGTCGGTGCATATGTGGCAGTGTGATGTTGTTACACTAGATTATTCACTTCAGGGATCTTATTTTGAAATCAGCAAGGGCTTTTAACTGTTGGAGCACTTCATTGAGGATAGAAAGGGAGGACTATTAAATGTAAAATTCTTTCTGTAAATTTCTTAGTTTTAATTATTTTATTGTTTCTTTTGTCTACTGCAAATTATTTAGCTTGAGGAATATATAAGAGAGAAGTCTGGTTTACTAGAGCAAGTTCAATATGGGCGGAGTTTTAGCAGCCATTACGTGAGTGGAGTACAAAGTAAGCTGTAGCCCCGCCTTTCGTCCTCTTTGGAAAACGCCACTGTGAGAGAAGGTATGTGCTGGCGGAGCTCCGTCATTTTGAGTTAAAACACATTTTGTATTTTCCCATTTTCGACATAAAATGAGTTCATTCAATCACTAAAACATTATATCACGCACTGGTTATGCTGTTGTGCAGTTAAAACACTGTTTTATGTGGGTTTAGTACGTTTCTACTTGCTGTTGGCCACAAGTTCTGTTAAGGTGGAACGTTAAGGTGGAATGCTAATTGCGAAGTTAGAGTATGGATGCTAATTGTTCACAGGACATTTGTTTCTTTTGCTTAATAAGACGAGATTAAACTGCCATTGCGTGCATTTGGTTGTTTTTAAAGCAGAGCTTTAACTTTTGTTCACAATTTTAGGGTTTGTATAGTTCGTAGTGTAACAGCTTTATTGTGATCTGAGTGCATGGTGTTTAACAGGCGCTGCTGAGAGCACGAGAGAGAAAGAAAAGCTAATGAAGCCTGTTTATTCGCCTTTTGTAAACTCTGTGCAGGTAGGGAAAATAAATGCTTCCTCATGTTAAGCTGGTGTGCTGATGTCATCACTTCATTCATCATTCAAACCTACACAACGCAGAAGTAAACCCGTTACACATATACATTCACAAAAAGAAAGGAAAACCCCCCGATCTCAGCTTTGATTAAAAGCACCCTCCCCTTCACAAGTTCTGTGGTTGACTGCAAAGTCACATCTAGTGAATTTGAGAACAGCACAGCTACCCCTGCACTAGAGTTAGTCCCATGACTAAGAGTATAGGAGCCCTTCCACCATATTCCCCAGTCAGTTTCATTTTCACTATCAGAATGGGTTTCTTGTAGAAAAATTATGCTCTGTATTACTGACCTCCTCTGCTGAGGCACTGCTCGGTCCTGCAGCCTCCTCCCTGTTGGCTTTATGCGGACAAGCCTGTCTCTTATGCCCGACGTCTCCACACTCAAAACACCTTAAACTCTCTAAAAACATACACACCTGCCTTCTGTAAGACAGCACGTGCTTAAGGGCACTGTTTTTACAAGCAAGCGGAATCATTTTAATCGAGCCAGCAAATTTCCCAAACTGGGACAGCTCGTGCTCAATGTCAGAGTTCGGAATGAATGGCGGCACGTTCGAAACAGTGACTTTCGTTGTTGGAGCAACAAGCGGTGAAACCGTGCAAAACACTCCACTCACCCAAACCCCACTCTCAACCAAGCGGTTCACCAAGCTCTGCTCCTTCAGGAAGATCACCACAGCTTTGTTCATCCGCGACGCAGAGACTATGTTCTCACAGCCGATTAGCTCCCCGACTCCCAGCAGAACCTCCTCCACTGTCTCTCCCAACCCCGGCTCACACCTGACCCCGTGACAGAGTGACAGAGACGGCGCCCCGCCACCGGGGAGAGACACCATCGTTCACTATCCGACACTGACACACTGTACAATAACACGACCAATAATACCCACTTTAATAACAGTATAATACTGATAAGAGAGAAAAAGAACAGGATCAAAGCCCAGAAACCCTCTCACCACACACCTCTACCTCCACCTCAGAGAGCAAGAGAGGAAGAGAGAGAGAGAGGTAGAGAGAGGGAGAGGGAGAGAGAGCGAGAGAGGGAGAGGAGATTATATTCACAAGATTATAAAATGCAAATTCAACATGGAATCGTTTCATCACAAGACCTCTCACCATTAGGACAGGGTCAGTCCCTCCACACCCCTTAATCCTGTTTTTCCTCGTGCACCAGATCGCCAACTTCGCTGCTCCAAACAAAAAATTTAAAAGCACCACTTTGTCCTTTTTCAAAACCGAATATTTGGGACCATAAATGAACAAACTATCCCTAAAAAACCCTAAAAATATCAAACCCCAATTTTTGACTAACACTAAAATTGAACCTAACTGTGAGCACTGCAGAAAAACATGAAACAGAGTCTCTGGAGCACCACAGAAAGGACAACCCTCCCCGACTGTGGGATCGATCCGTGCCGCATGTCTGTTCGTAGCTAAAACCCTGTGTACAATCCTCCACTGGAGATCGGCCGTTCTCTTTTCGATGGGCCTTTTGTACACAGACCGCCAGCTACCTTTTGGGGACGAGCCTGCCTCAACAACCTCAGACCATTTAGTCTCCCGCACATCCCTCAGGCTTCGAAAGTTCAAAACTTTTGTGCATGCCTGATACAGTCTCTGTTTAGTGATTGCACTGAAAGTCCCAAGAGTCGGGGTTTCCATGGAAAGAAGCGCCCCTTGAAACTCCTGCCAATCCTCCTGACCCATGTCCAGTACAAGTTCTGGGTGATCCATGTCCATGATCTGCCAGTCTTCCACGGGGGTCGCATCCAGGTATTCAGAGACAGCGGCAGACAGGTCAGATTTTAGACGACCAAGCACCAGGTGCTCGTCCGGAAGTCAACTGATAAACAGCTTTGGTGACTTCCTCAAAAGTCAGAGCAGAGTCCAAGGCCTGCTTTTGCTGTTGATGCAGTTGGGGAAGATCATTGTGCAAAACCTTGGTATAGTTCTGGTCCAGTGATCCAGTTGCGTACAACTCAGAATAAAACTGTACTGCCATCTTTCGCACTTCAGCTGGGTCTGCAGTGACTGTACCATCATCTTTGCGTAAGGAGACCAGAGACTTATGGTTTGAAGTAGATCGTTCTAAATTGAAGAAAAAGGCAGTGGGAACATCCAGGTCTTGTATGGATAAAAACCTGGTTCTAACCAAAACCCCTTTTGCCTTCTCATTCAAAATGGCACTAAGGTTCTAGAGTTTTGTGGTCAAAACTGCTTGCAAGCCAGAGAGGGAGAGAGAAAGAGAGGGAGGGAGAGGGAGAGAGAGAGGGAGAGAGAGAGGGAGGGAGAGGGAGGTAGTGCTACTGACCGTCATCCGGTGTGGTGTAGCGCGCAAACTCCGGGAAATATTCCTCTATTTTTGATTTTCCCGCCAAAACTTTCTCAGCCAGCAGGTCCTGTTTATTCAGGAAGAGAATCACAGAAATCGTTCGAAGCCACCTGCAGAGAGAGAGAGAGAGAGAGAGAGAGAGAGACACAGAGAGAGAGAGAGAGAGAGAGAGAGAGAGAGAGAGAGAGAAAGCAAATGAATCCACACCGAAAAATCAGAGACACGAACAAACCTCACTACAAGCTCAGAAACACACAGACAAAACAGATTAACGGCTGAGCAGCAGCGCTAATCCGCCAGCTCTGTTAGCACTGTTAGCACTGTTAGCTCTGTGAGTCAGCTCTGTTAGCACTGTTAGCATTGTTAGTCAGCTCTGTTAGCTCTGTTAGCACTGTTAGCATTGTTAGTTAGCTCTGTTAGCTCTGTTAGCACTGTTAGCATTGTTAGTCAGCTCTGTTAGCTCTGTTAGCACTATTAGCTCTGTCAGTCAGCTCTGTTAGCTATGTTAGCACTGTTAGTCAGCTCTGTTAGCTCTGTCAGTCAGCTCTGCTAGCTCTGTTAGCACTGTCAGTCAGCTCTGTTAGCACTGTCAGTCAGCTCTGTTAGCTCTGTTATCAGTCTGTTAGCTCTGTTAGTCAGCTCTGTTAGCTCTGTTATCAGGTCTGTTAGCTCTGTTAGCTCTGTTAGTCACCTCCGTTAGCACTGTTAGCTATGTTAGCTCTGTTAGTCAGCTCTGTTAGCTCTGTTAGCACTGTCAGTCAGCTCTGTTAGCACTGTCAGTCAGCTCTGTTAGCTCTGTTATCAGGTCTGTTAGCTCTGTTAGTCAGCTCTGTTAGCTCTGTTATCAGGTCTGTTAGCTCTGTTAGCTCTGTTAGTCACCTCCGTTAGCACTGTTAGCTATGTTAGCTCTGTTAGTCAGCTCTGTTAGCTCTGTTAGTCAGCTCTGTTAGCTCTGTTAGTCAGCTCTGTTAGCTCTGTTAGCCAGCTCTGTTAGCACTGTTAGCATTGTTAGTCAGCTCTGTTAGCTCTGTTAGTCAGCTCTGTTAGCACTGTTAGTCAGCTATGTTAGCTCTGTAAGTCAGCTCTGTTAGCTCTGTTATCAGCTCTGTTAGCTCTGTCAGCTCTGTTAGCCAGCTCTGTTAGCACTGTTAGCACTGTTAGTCAGCTCTGTTAGCTCTGTTAGTCAGCTGTTAGTCAGCTCTGTTAGTCAGCTCTGTTAGCACTGTTAGCTCTGTTAGTCAGCTCTGTTAGCTCTGTTAGCACTGTTAGCATTGTTAGTCAGCTCTGTTAGCTCTGTTAGTCAGCTCTGTTAGCACTGTTAGCATTGTTAGTCAGCTGTTAGCTCTGTTAGTCAGCTCTGTTAGCATTGTTAGTCAGCTCTGTTAGCTCTGTTAGTCAGCTCTGTTAGTCAGCTCTGTTAGCACTGTTAGCATTGTTAGTCAGCTGTTAGCTCTGTTAGTCAGCTCTGTTAGCATTGTTAGTCAGCTGTTAGCTCTGTTAGCTCTGTTAGTCAGCTCTGTTAGCTGTTAGCACTGTTAGCATTGTTAGTCAGCTCTGTTAGCTCTGTTAGCATTGTTAGTCAGCTCTGTTAGCTCTGTTAGTCAGCTCTGTTAGCTGTTAGCACTGTTAGCTCTGTTAGTCAGCTCTGTTAGCTCTGTTATCAGCCTGATTTCTCTGTGTTTATTTTAAAATTATGACTTTTCAAACAATGAAAATCAACACAGCTTTATTTTCACCATTTTAAACATGAACACATTTCACACTTCAGCAGCCGTTTTTCGTTCCTCTGATTGAATCAATAATAACCGTTTCTGCGGCGACGTGTGTCCAACAGTCACAACAGTGTGGATTCCTTTCTCTCAGTGCTGCAGTTTAATGCTGTGATGTTCTCTGTGTTTGAGCGCAGGCAGGTGAGGTGTTGAATGTGACAGTGTTACGGTTCCATACCTGTTGTTCCAGATGTTCTTGAACAGGTTGAGAGCCTCCTGGAGGCGGTTGGTCAGATTGTCTTCTCGGATCACCATATTATAACTGCTGCTCGCCACCACGAATATGATCGCAGTCACATCTACATCACAAACACGGATCAGATCGAAAACTGATCAATGAAAACAGAAAAACATCCTCAGAGTGTTTATAACACTGACAGAGACTGTTAATAACCACCAGGGACAATTTCAATTCATGAGGGAGGTGCACGTGTGTGACGCTGAGGCGGTCCTGTGATTTTATAAGAGAAATATTTATTATGAGTTTATTATGAATCAGTGTTGTCTGACAGTAAATAATATTTAAAACATTAAGATGAATCTCAGTAGAACATCAGAGAGGAACAAGAAAAAAGCTGATTCTCTGACAAATAAAGAACAGTTTAATCAGTGCTATCAACTAAAAAAAGTTTTGTTATTTTATTATTATTCCAGTAAGAAACTGTTCCTGTTTGAACACACGGGTTAGAGGAACGTTTCTGAGCTGTGTGAGTGAAGGTGCTTCAGGAGAACCGGTTCCTCTAAACAGGCTCAGCTAAAAACAGGAAATCAGGAACACTTTACGAGAGAACGACATCACAACTGCCACCATTTAGGGCTGAATATGAAAATCACAATTAGAAAGGCCACAGTTTTAATTACAGCCTGCGTCCCGACAGCGCTGAGAACTTTAACCTGATAAGACGAGGAAGGCAAGTCAGACCAATTAGAAGCAACCAAACAGCCATGGGCTGTGACATCACAACCACGACTGGCTGTGTGGAGCTCTACGTTCAGCACTCAAGTCAGAAAACAGACAATATGATGGGCCAAAAAAAACATCTGACGTCAGTTTACAGAAAATGACCACAGTTTTTTGCCCAAATCGTTTATCCCTACAATGATGTATCAAATCAAAAACATCATCAAGGGCGCTGAGACAGACGACCGTTTCGTCCGTGTTCTCAGAGCGGAGAACGGCTCTGTGTGTTTAAAGTGTTTACAATTTTCACTGACGCTTCCTGAAAGAGTCTCAGTTTAATATTTAAAATATCAGCTGAACATAATTCCCATAATTTCATTTCATAATTACGTACTAATAACACTGGAAACTGTGAAATACTCACCGTTAAAGCACTGGATCCATTTCCGCCGCTCGTCTCTCTGACCGCCAACGTCGAACATGCTGGAGGAGAAAAAGAGTTTAAACCCTTAAATCACTGAAACATCCTGAATAAACACAAACAGGTCCTCAGCGCTGCGTCTCCACGGCAACACGACAGAAACATACACTGTTACTGTATATAACACCTTATTTCATATTATTATAATATCTCATACAGTATAATAACGCTAAAGATCATCTGCTGATCTGAGACGTTTCTGTGAGGATCTTAAAAAAGCAGAACGCAGAAGCTTCCTGTCTGACATCATCAGGACAGAACACCTGATTTCACACCTGAGCTTCACTAAGTAGATCACAACAACAACAACAATAATAATAACATTAATGATAATGATAATAATAATAACAATAATAATAACATAGAGTCTCTAAAACTCGCTCGCTGGAGTCACTCAGTCATTTTAAAGTTTTAATCTCTGATCACCGAAGATGGCCTGGAACTGTTTTAGCTTAACTGAGTTTAGTTTAACTTTTCCTTCTCCTTTTTATTTAATTTTATTATTATTTTTATGCACTTTTTCTTCCCAATAATCATATTTTATTATATTCTATCTCAATTCTAGGGTTAGGGCTACTGTTTTTATTTATTTTTGTATTTATTTTTATTACCTTTTAAGATCCTTTTATTTTATTTTATTTTTTAAATTTTATTTTGCCTATTCATCCTTTTGTGTTGAAATCTTATTAATTACTTTAATATCTTGGTTTTATTTAATATTTCTCCTTCTTAATCAAATCTTAACTGTTCTCTTAATTCTTTTGTTGTTTATCTCGTCTGGTTTTCTGTTAATTTGTTTATGTAGTTCTGTTTATTTTAGTTTATCCTCATTAAATTCTACAACCCCATTTCCGAAAAAGTCAGGACGCTGTGCAAAATGTAAATAAAAACAAAATGCAATGATGTGCAAATCATTTAAACCCTATATTTCATTGAAAATACTACAAAGACAACATATCAAATGTTGAAACTGAGAAATGTTATTGTTTTTTTGAAAAATATTTGCCCATTTTGAATTTGATGCCAACGACACGTTTTTAATTTTAATTTCTTTTTCAAACCCTTTAATGTTGTAAATGCTACATTGAAATGGAGTCACCCTTGATGTCTTTCTGAGTGAAAATAAAAGTTAGTGGTATTACTAAATAATAGGGGTGCAGGAAAAAATCGATTCTTAGATGCATCGCGATGCGGACGTGAACGATGATTTACTTCGCTCTGCTTTAAGCTTCGCCTACAGCCCCTTTCCTCCCATCTCCACCAGAAAACTTTTCCTCAGAAGTAGATCAGTTAAATGTCTCTCAGCGTTCGACTGTTTTACGAGGCTGAAGTCGCTTCTTATTCTCCAGCTTCTTGTTCGAATTTACCCGTTCCACCTTAAATTCTAACTGAGGCGCTGAATGAAAATGCGGCACCATTTAAGGTGGAACAGGAGAATTCGAAAGAGAAGCGACTTCAGCTTCACCACTTTTTAGTGTTTGACAGTCTCTCGTTGCAGATTTAACGGACCAGGAAACCAACTGCGCTGCTTATAAATGCGAATAACGCATCGCTGCTATGTGACCTGCAGTCTGCACACCGGTTCTCAGTCGTTGCGAAACAGGGCTTTCGTGCTATGTTGCACACGACCCATCTCAAAGATACTTTACTGACACAGCGATCCCCCCGTCTCTACAACGAGACCAAAACCGAAGTCATAAAATCACTAAAGAAAACGGGTAGAATAGCTGTAACGCACTGCGTGGACATCCATCACCACTGGATCTTATTTCACCATAACTGCGCATTTTATCGCAGATGAGTAGCAGCAACTTCTCGTGCTCCAAACAAGAGCACTGAATGAGAGCCGTCTAGTTCGCCTGCCACATCACTTCCATTTGATTTATTAATTAAAGATATTGGAAGTAAATTCATTATGGATCATCATGGAATCGTAATCGAATCGAATCATGAGGTGCCTAGAGATTCCCACCCCTACTAAATAATAATAATAATAATAATAATAATAATAAGTAAACACACAACCTTGTCTTCTTTGTTACAGCACTGTCAGGAGGTGGCGCTGTTCTGTTATCTCAGTAATGCTGTTACAGCCTCATTATGCCGTAACGCTGCTGTTTGCTAATATGACTGTATGTTCACAACTCAGTAACATTCCATGGAGTTCCAGGCACAACATAAAGGAACTTTAAAACGTTCCCACTACGCTGTGCAACAACGTCACAACTTTCTGAGGAACTACATTTCAACGTGAAAGCAACAGACTGTCACATCACTGTGTTTGCTGGGTAACGTCTCTCTGCTTTAGGCTCTGCGCAGAGGCTCAGATGGACAGCAGGTCAACAACTGTTTTTCTATCAAAATTGTGATTTAAAAGAATTAAATCTGCAAATTGCAAAAGCAGCTGTTTTATTAGATTGTTTATTATTTATCATATCTTACATTATTCAACATTCTAGTTAGCTCTGAGTTCTGTGTTACTACACTAACGCCAAGCTGGTGAAGCTGCAGCCAGGAACACTTTTAATTCTGAAAAAATGGCTGTGCTGAACGTCTTGATGAATGTTTTTCAAAAAATCACAGTTATTGTTCAGCTCTGAGTGACAGAACAGAGATTTGGGGGAAAATAATTAATCACATTTTTTTACTCACTGAAAATTCACTTTGTCCACCTGAAACCTCGTCTCAAAGATCCCTGAAGTCAGAACTCTGCATCTCAACAAGTCCTTCAAACGGAGGAGAAAAAAACAGATTTTTTCATGGCTACACACGTACAGTATGTAATAATAATAATGACAACAATAATAATAATAATAGTAAGTTGTGCTTTACCTGATCGGTAGGCGTGTAGTCACTCTGCTTTATGGTGTCAATCTTATCCAGGAAACTGAAAGAGAAAAAAGAGTTCATTAATAATTCCAGATTAAAAAATAAAATTAAAATGTTTAAGGTGAAATGATTATTAGACTATTTTATTTCATATTTCCATCCGCCCAGAATATTGAGTTTAGTTAGTAATCAGTATTTCTGTGACATACTTCAAATATCTTCTCTAAAAGTGGAACATATTTTTAAATCGACTAAAATTTCATTTCAGATCAACACAAACAAACAGTCGCCATTAAATAACAACACTGACAGCTGCAGTTCCACATACAGACAGCAGGAGGAGCAGCTCTGTGCTGAAGATCAAAGACTGACTGAGTCACAGATCAGAGCGAGAGAGAGAGAGAGAGAGAGAGAGAGAGAGAGAGAAAGAGAATACAGAATGGACAGAGAGACAGACTGGGAAGAGAGAATGAGAGAGAGAGTGACAGACAGTAAATATAGAGTGAGTGACAGAGAGAGAGAGAGAGAGAGAGAGAGAGAGAGAGAGAGACAGGTATGTTGTAAGAATGTGACACAAAGGGTTGAAATGTGACAGCCGGACTGCAGATACACACACACACACACACACACACACACACACACACACACACACATACACTCTCACACACACACACACACACAGACACACACAGACACACACATACACAGTGTGGTATATACAGAAAATGCAGTGAATGCGGTGGTAAATGCAGTGGACACAATGGTATATACAATGAATGCAGTGGTGTATCTAGTGAATGCAGCGGTCTTTGCAGTCGACACAGTGGTACAATGAATGCAGTAGTGTATGCAGTAGACACAGTGGTACATACAGTGAACATAGTTGGATAAACAGTGTATGCAGTGGTGTATGTAGTAGACAGAGTGGTACATACAGTGAACATAGTTGGATATACAGTGAATGCAGTGGTGTATGCAGTAGACACAGTGGTACATACAGTGAACATAGTTGGATATACAGTGAATGCAGTGATGTATGCAGTGGACACAGTGGTATATACAGTGGATGCATCTTTGACTTAATATTTTAATATAACAAAATATTCTTCAGCAAAATGTATGAAAATAATGTTGGAATTCATAATTAAAATGTAACTTCAGTTCAAAGGTCAGAACAAAGTAAAAAGAACAGTTTAGTTATTTAGTTAATTTAGTAATTAAGTTATAAACAGTCAGTGTTAACAAATAAATACTGCAGAGATTTCCAGAATCTATTCAATGCAGAAAGACAGAAAGAGTCACACAGACAGACAGAGAGATAGACAGACAGACGGACACAGTTGGACAGACAGACAGTTGGAGAGACAGGCCAGCTGAGTGCCCTGCTTTGTTGTGTCCAACATAGTATCTCAATTATAGCCTTTCTCTCTATTAATAGGTTCGGCCAATAATAGACCGTCTGCGAGTCAGACGACAACAACTCAGGCCTCTCTGTATTCTCGCTCCAACACCCAGATCAGGTGAACACAGGAACACAGGAACACCAACCCAGAACATCTAACCCTGTTCTGCAAAACTCCAACACTAACACAGTCAAATTCAACAGAGCTGCACTAAAAACAGAACACGTTTACCATACCTAAAGACACGTTCACTATATTTAAAGACATGTTCACTATACTGAAAGACGTTCACCATACGTAGGCACATTCACCATTCTGATCATACTAAAAAGACATGCTCATTATACTTAGACGTTCTCTGTACCTAAACACAAGTTCACCATATCTAAAAACATGTTCATCATACCTAAAGACATGTTCACTATATTTAAAGACATGTTCACCATACTTACAGACATGTTCACCATACCCAAAGACACATTCACTATACTTAGACACATTCACTATACTTAGACATGTTCACCATACATAAAGACATGTTCACTATACCCAAAGACACATTCACTATACCCAAAGACACGTTCAATATATCTAGACATGTTCACTATACCTAAAGACATGTTCACTATATCTAAAGACATGTTTACTATACTTAGAGAAATGTTCACTATATCTAAAGACATGTTTACTATATCTAAAGACATGTTCACTATACTTAGATGTGCACCATACTTAAAGAGAAGTTCATCATATCTAAAGACACGTTCACCATACCTGAAGACATGTTCACTATACCTAAAGACATTTTCACTATACTTAAAGACATGTTCACTATATCTAAAGACATGTTCACCATACTTAGACATGTTCACCATACCTAAAGACATTCTGACCATACTTACAGACATGTTCACTATACTTCAAGATTAGTTGTAACGTTACATCAACTAGAGGTTAATGTTACAGCTAACCTGGTTAACGTTGCAGCTTATCTAATTAGCGTTGCAGCTCATCTAATTAATGTTACAGCTCGTCTGGTGAACGTGACCCTGAGAGTTTGAACTCAGACACATCTGGAAGGAAGAAGGCTTCACCCACTTCTGTTGATGTCACAACACTGAGGGGTTCAACTTGTGTAGAATTTTTACCCGTCAGCGTTTTTCACCGATTTTATAAGATTATCAAACACATGCCTTTTTATAAAGACCCCACAGTAAAATGTGAACCACAATATCTATCAAATATATTTAACACATTAAACATAAACCTGTTTACAGAGTCAACAACGTCAAAAGGAAACAGCACAAAACTAACAAAACAGCAAAATCTGATTTAGACTTTGACTGAATGCAGATCTCAATTATGACTGAAAATCTGCTTCACTGACACAGAGAGAGGAGAGAGGAGAGGAGAGGAGAGAGGGAGCGGCGAAGAAAGAAAGAAAAGAGAGAGAAGGCTGTGTCTGACATTACAGCGGCGCTCCAAAAATAGCTCCCTGGCGCCCTGGCCTCCAGCTCGGTTGTCATAGCGACAGAACCACAGGCGCTATAAATAGACTATCAGCTCCAAATCTTGTGTGACTGGAGAGAGGCCAGAGAGAGAGAGAGAGAGAGAGAGAGAGAGAGAGAGAGAGAGAGAGAGAGAGAGAAAGAGAGAGAGAGAAAGAGAGAGAGACAGAAACAGAGAGAGGGAGATAAAGAGAGGGAAGGAGAGGCAGAGAGCAAGACAGAGACAGAAGGAAGAGAGGGGGAGAGAGCGAGAGAAAGAGGGAGAACGAGAGACAGAGGAAGGAGAGAGAGGGAGAGGGAGAAAGAAAGGAAGAGACTGGACAAAACGGAGAAAGTGAGAAGAGTGAGGAAGAGAGTGTGAGCAAAAAAGAAGTGGACAGAGAGATGGGAAAAAACATGTTTGGCTTATAGAGGGGAGGGAGAAGAGAAATGACAACATGCAGAGAAAAAAGAGGGAGAAAAAGAGACAGAGAGAGAGACAGGTGAGAGAGAATAAAAAAGAGAGAGAGAGAAAGATGGAGAGAGTATAGAGAGAGAGGAAGCAAAAGAGAGAAACAGGAAAGAGAGACAGAGAAAGAAAGACAGGAGGAAAGGAGAGAGATAAGAGAGAGAAAAAGACGAAGAGTTACAGAGAAAAAGAGAGACAGTATAGAGAGAAAGATAGAAAGACAGAGAGAGAGCGAGAGAGAGAGAGAGGGAGTACGACCGGTGAGGACGACCAGTGAGGACAACCAAATAACTGATACTGATTATTATTATTATTATATATCCTGTTCTACTCTTTTATATTCCTTGTCTTTTTCTTCGATTACGAATAACCCTGTAAATAACGTAATTTCAAGTGTTCTATTATAATCTATAATATTATCTTCTTATTCAGGTTTATGTGTTTCTGATTCACTGCTTTGGCAATAGTGTACCTTACTCTCCTAAACCTTACTCACCTAAACTTTACACTCTTAAACCTTACTCTCCTAAACGCTACACTCCTAAACCTTAATCTCCTAAACCTTAATCTCTTAAACCTTACTCTCCTAAATCTTACTCTCCTAAACCTTACACTCCTTAACTTTACTCTGCTAAACCTTAATCTCCTAAACCTTACTCACCTAAACTTTACACTCCTAAACCTTACTCTCCTAAACGCTACACTCCTAAACCTTAATCTCCTAAACCTTAATCTCTTAAACCTTACTCTCCTAAACCTTACTCTCCTAAACCTTACTCTCCTAAACCTTAATCTCCTAAACCTTAATCTCTTAAACCTTACTCTCCTAAACCTTACTCTCCTTAACTTTACTCTCCCAAACCTTACACTCCTAAACGCTACACTCCTAAACCTTAATCTCCTAAACCTTAATCTCTTAAACCTTACTCTCCTAAACCTTACTCTCCTAAACCTTACACTCCTTAACTTTACTCTCCTAAACCTTAATCTCCTAAACCTTAATCTCTTAAACCTTACTCTCCTAAACCTTACTCTCCTTAACTTTACTCTCCCAAACCTTACACTCCTAAACGCTACACTCCTAAACCTTACTCTCCTAAACCTTACTCTCCTAAACGCTACACTCCTAAACCTTACTCTCCTAAACCTTACTCTCCTAAACGCTACACTCCTAAACCTTACTCTCCTAAACGCTACACTGCTAAACCTTACTCTCCTAACTGCTACACTCCTAAACCTTACACTCCTAAACCTTACCCTCCTAAACCTTACACTCCTTAACTTTACTCTCCTAAACCTTACACTCCTAAACCTTACCCTCCTAAACCTTACACTCCTTAACTTTACTCTCCTAAACGCTACACTCCTAAACCTTACTCTCCTAAATCTTACTCTCCTAAACTTTACACTCCTAAACCTTAATCTCTTAAACCTTACTCTCCTAAATCTTACACTCCTAAACCTTACTCTCCTAAACCTTACACTCCTTAACTTTACTCTCCTAAACCTTACTCTCCTAAACCTTACTCTCCTAAATCTTACTCTCCTAAACCTTACTCTCCTAAACCTTTTCTGCTAAACCTTAATCTCTTAAACCTTACTCTCCTAAATCTTACACTCCAAAACCTTACTCTCCTAAACTTTACTCTCCTAAACCTTACTCTCCTAAACCTTACTCTCCTAAACCTTGCACTCCTAAATCTTACTCTCCTAAACCTTACTCTCCTAAACTTTACTCTCCTAAACCTTACTCTCCTAAACCTTGCACTCCTAAACCTTACTCTCCTAAACCTTGCACTCCTAAATCTTACTCTCCTAAACCTTTTCTGCTAAACCTTAACCTCTTAAACCTTACTCTCCTAAACCTTACACTCCTAAACCTTATTATCCTAAACCTTAATCTCCTAAACCTCAATCTCCTAAACCTCAATTGCCTAAACCTTACTCTCCTAAACCTTAATCTCCTAAACCTTACTCTCCTGAACCTTACTCCCCTAAACCTTAATCTCTTAAACCTTTCTCTCCTAAACCTTACTCTCCTAATCTTTCTACTCCTAAACCTTAATCTCCTAAACCTTACTCTGCTGAACCTTACTCTCCTAAACCTTAATCTCCTAAACCTTACTCTGCTGAACCTTACTCTCCTAAACCTTAATCTCCTAAACCTTACTCTCCTAAACCTTACTCTCCTAATCCTTCTACTCCTAAACCTTACTCTCCTGAACCTTACTCTCCTAATCCTTCTACTCCTAAACCTTACTCTCCTAAACCTTACTCTGCTGAACCTTACTCTCCTAAACCTTAATCTCCTAAACCTTACTCTCCTAAACCTTAATCTCCTAATCCTTCTACTCCTAAACCTTAATCTCCTAAACTTTACTCTGCTGAACCTTACTCTCCTAAACCTTACTCTCCTAAACCTTAATCTCCTAAACCTTACTCTCCTAAACCTTAATCTCCTAAACCTTACTCTGCTGAACCTTACTCTCCTAAACCTTAATCTCCTAAACCTTACTCTCCTAAACCTTAATCTCTTAAACCTTACTCTGCTGAACCTTACTCTCCTAAACCTTAATCTCCTAAACCTTACTCTCCTGAACCTTACTCTCCTAATCCTTCTACTCCTAAACCTTACTCTCCTAAACCTTACTCTCCTAAACCTTAATCTCCTAATCCTTCTACTCCTAAACCTTAATCTCCTAAACTTTACTCTGCTGAACCTTACTCTCCTAAACCTTACTCTCCTAAACCTTAATCTCCTAAACCTTACTCTCCTAAACCTTACTCTCCTAAACCTTAATCTCCTAAACCTTACTCTGCTGAACCTTACTCTCCTAAACCTTAATCTCCTAAACCTTACTCTCCTAAACCTTAATCTCCTAAACCTTACTCTGCTGAACCTTACTCTCCTAAACCTTAATCTCCTAAACCTTACTCTCCTAAACCTTACTCTCCTGAACCTTACTCTCCTAAACCTTAATCTCCTAAAGCTTACTCTCCTAAATCTTATTCTCCTAAACCCTACATCTATTTCCATAAACTTATACCCATAAACACTAATCTCTATACCCCTTAATCTATTTCCCAACCATCCTGCCCTCTGACCACCCTCAATCCTGCACCC